CGCGTACGAACGCGTGAAAGTTCTGGCAAGAAAATCGCTAGCTAGGGAACTCGTAAAGCTGAAAAACTGAAATTTTAATTGAAGCTCCCCATCCATTTAGGACTTAATAAAGACATCAAATTTAGCCCCAAAGTATGTATGGTTTTTGTAAATGGGTCGTCAAAATTTTTGGCGAGAAAACTGTTGATTTGGAAGCCAGGAATGCTGGAAGGCTGAAGTTTTAAGACCATGTTCCCTTCCCAAGTACCATGCAGTTGCACAATCAACCTTCTGGAAATCGAGGACCAGTACGTCACATATTCTAGCTACTGAAACTCCAAGCGATCTTTCCACAGCAAGAAATCTGCAAAAACACATGATCGCACGGGCCCGTCTGGTTCTAGAAAAATTGATGAGTTCAAAACAGTTCTAATGAATAGATTTGATAATCAAATTTGTGTGTGCAGAAACCTTCTATCAATTTCACATCTAGATGACAACACACTTAATCTAGAGCAAAGTGGTATTCTTAAGCAAAACATCCACATATTTCTAAATGTTCTTTCGATATAAAGAAGTGACTACAGGGGACATCTTGCCCATTAACAGCTAATTACAAACTTTATTGAAATCCCAGTCGCTTCACGTCGAGGTCATCGATGCATTTTATGAAACGCACTAATGATAATATAATAATAACAGTAGTAATAACAACAAGTTTTTCCAGTTACCGAGTTAGCAATTTTCCTGTCAAACCTTTTGTGTGCTCGTGCGTGAGAACCACGCATACCTAAAAGCTGAATTGTACTTGGATAAGAAACACTTCTCCAAAAATTTCAGCTTTCTGATTCCTGAGTCAGTAATTTTCCCGCCAAAACTTTCATACGCCCTTACATAAGTACCACACATATCTGGAAGCTGAATTTGAAATCTTTAACTTACACATGCACAGGGAATATTCCTGCAAGGTTTCAGTTCCATATTTCTCTAATTCCCGAGATCGCCTTTCCGCCAAAAAATTTGCATTTTTTTAAGACGTCAGTACGCGTCACCCAGGCATGGTCTGGTGGTAATATTAAGACGAGAGGGTCGCGCATGGTGTAGGCACATAATCCCGAAACTCCAACTTTCTTGCTTTTCTGGTTCTCGAGTTGAAGTAGGGGACAAAAAGTGCGAACACACAGACACACACACTCACACATAGCCTCCTGCCAAAACGCGTTTTTATAATTTGCATATGTGCAAAGACGCATTATAATAGCGACAGTAGTAATTTTCGGAACTTTGCACAATTCTCACAGAAAGACAGTGCAGATAAGCTAAAAGATAATAGATTTCAGGCTAATAGATTTCAAAGACTGCATATAAACAATGTGCTCGCTAATTGAGTTTTCTATCATTCTACGCTATGATTTTCTAACATTTTACGACCAAGACAGAATAAATTTTCGTCACGTTGCAGAGTACCAACAAAGGTAATAAAAGAACTATGCTGGCCAATAGCCGCTTGTTATGTATGCACACCAAAATAACGCTCGGGAAAATAATAATACTCGTGAACATGTGCGTACGTAGATTCAGGTTGCATTTTGCTGTAAATTGTCGCGAGCTTCGAGATTTGTTCACTTTCAAATTTTTCGATGTCGAAAGCACTGGTATTCTTGCGCCATAGTGACATCATTTCCGCATAAAACGCCGTTTCGTTCTTGAATTGCTCGATAAGTTCGATGATTTTAGCTGATGGTTCGGCCCAAATATCTGCAGTTTCTTCCGTAATGGTGTGCATTGGAATTTCTTTGACGTCAATCCACTTCTCAGAACTACCTAGACATGATGCCCTTAACCGTACTACACCGTATTCATGCGTGACCTCAATTAAACACACAGGTGTTTCACTGGGTTGTGAATAAAATAGAGCATTTCGATGTCCGTAACTCGAAATTCCAGTATGAGCCTGAAAGTTTATTAAATTCAGAATAATACCTGTTTGCCACTGGAAATAAGTAAACTGCTTTTGCAGTTTCCTTGGGCATGCTATCTGGCAGCTTGCATTATTTGAATAGTGTTTTTACAGGCGCAACGTGCCTCGTCCCTCGGGTCTGATAAACCGTAAGAAGTGCGGGACCTTCATCGACTTTTACCTTGTGCTCTAATCGTTAACGACGGACCTGCATTTCAGTGTTTCTCATTGGTTGAGTATGATAGCTGCTTAAAAACCTATTATTAAGTCCAAAGGTTCTCTGCCATATCAGTTATATCTGAAAGTGCCAAGATTTCAGGATGCTAAGAGTGAAATCGCAAAATATGCACTGCTTAGTCACAAGGCTGTAACATTACAACTTATTCAAAGCAGTCTGCGCATTTAAAATGACCAGAAATTACCATAATTAAAACTAAATTACAGTGTCCGGGGAAAAACACCTCTGCTGGACATTTCCTTCACAGTGCTTAACATTTGAAACAACTCAAAAAGTTTTAGGCACGACAGCACTGTTATAACCCTACAATTAAACCTACTTTCCTTCTCTCACTAATCCTTAACACTTCGACCTATTTCCTCCCACCCAATAATTTCAAACACTTTCACTATATTCTAAATAACACCGTATTACCTACCTTTTCACTTACTAACTACCTTTGCTTTCCTTTTCCCTCAATTAATTTTTATGCGTTTTTGCTGTGCAGCGCTATAGCAGCGCTATAGCGCTGCTACAGCCAGCA